AAAGCTTTATAGAGGTTATGTTTTGGTTTTCATTGCCTTCATACTTCAAAGGTTTTCTGGGGAAAAAAAAAACCCATAAGTAATTTGATCCAGAATTTGCTTCAGATCTGAAGTATCATATTTGTTTGTTTTCAAGGGGTGTTAAATTTTATTTTTTAACATTACAAAGTCATTTTCAAGTAGCGAGCACTTTGGGACTGGATTGCTGAATTAAAATAGTTGGATGCTCTATATTCTTGTTAAATGTCTGATAGCCCTATTAAATATCATTTTCCTCATTTGCTGTCACCATCATAATAAAATAAACCTCTTATCAACTTAAAAGATCTAACTAGATTTTATTAGTCAGCTATTTTTCTTGCATTTCCATTACATAGGTTTTACAACTAGATTTACTTTAAACATGTAAAATTGTCATCTATTTTCTATAAAGTCACATTTATTAGACTCCACTAACCCTCATCCATCTCTTGTAATTATGCACAATTATGGTAATTATGAGATATATTTGAATTATTGTAATTGAAGTAATAGAATAACCTATTTAATTATAAATTTAAATTTGACTGTTTTATGAAGACTTTTATACTATTATTTTCTCATTGATTTTAGTTAAACAAAAATGTTTAGCTTTAGAGAAACTATTTGGTGATTTTTTGTTTTTTACTTTGTCTTGTTTTGCTTCACCTATTTCTAATTAGTTTTAATGCTTCAAAATGTGTAGCTTCTTTAGAAACATTTTTTATCACTTGGCTTTAAAATATCTCCATCTTTAAGATTTAAATTTCATTTTATTATGGAAACATACATTGTTTTCCCTCATTATGAAGCTGGAAGTGAAGTGTGCTTCAGTAAATATGCATCAGTAGTGGGTGTGAATGTACATGCGTTTGGGCTGTTGAGTAAGAGGTGCTCTTTGCAGTGCAAATAACAGAAGCAATTGCTAAGGGAAAAGCAAAATATGTTCACTAAAGTGTAGTTTAATTAATATGCTGGTTAGTTTATGGCATACAATAAAAACACATTCTTATAAATAAAAGTTAAATAACAAAATTTCTAATATTATATTTATAAAAAATACCAACACTTATCCAATAAAATATTTTTTGAACTAAATATTTATTTCATTGAAGTAAATACTGGACAAGTATTTGTATCTTTTATAAATATATGAACGTGCTAAGTTTGGATGAATGTAATCAAAGCCAAGATGTAAATTATCCAGGCTGGTTCATTTCTAGTTACCTTCTTTTTAATTGGTTTTGGTAAGCTATTTCTAAAGAATGGAATCAAATTGCTTATGATTAGTGCAATAAAGTCTAATTGTTAGCATTATCTTTTTATATTTTATTCTCACAGGCGATTTTTATTTGGTCACTGGTGAAATTTCATAGACCTGAATATGCCAAAATCCCATACCCTGACTGGGGAGTTGCTCTAGGCTGGTGTATGATTATTTTCTGCATTATTTGGATTCCAATTATGGCTATCATAAAAATAATTCAAGCTGAAGGAAACATCTTTCAAGTAAGCACATTCAATTTATATTATACTTTAGTGTTTGTGATCAAAATGAAGATGAATTTACCCATATAGTAATAATATATGAGATATTTCTTTTCTTTTAGGCTACTTCTTTTATTTTCTTTTTTTGTTAATGAAGTATTGTTTTACATTGTTGTTATATTTTGGGACTTCTTCCCTAAGAAGTGTGGTCCTCATAGCTCTCCCACCACCAAAGCACCCATAGTCCTCCATTTTTCAGGTACTCCTATACCTGTAAAATCATTTGGTACAATAAGCATAACATTTTATTATCCTGTATATATTTATGTTTCTCTCTGTACTAGATTATAAACTGCTTTACAGAGGTGGCTTGCCTTGTTTCCTGTTACAATGCTTAGGGCTTAACGAGTGTGATATGTATACCAGTACTGAGTTATATCCCTGAAGATGTCACAGAATAAATGACCTTGGTGCTTTATAGCTATAATCCTCATTTTTAAAACCACACCTGTTTATAATACAAGTCTGAATACTGTGTTTATAATGGGAAAAAGCCTGGAAAACTATCTAGAACCCAATCTAGACCCTGAGTCATTCTTCCTCCATGGAGGCCTGGGGCCAAGGGGGTGGGTTTATGACATCTCACTAGGACAATGACAAGGTAGGCTCAGGAGTCTTAGATTTTAAATACATTCTCTAGTCCATCCAAGAGTGAATCCAGATCAACATTTGACTTCAGAGCGCCTTTTCTTTGTTGAAACATTCTAGGCATATATACACTGGTTTAGGTTCTTACCTAACCCTCACTCCAAGGCCGGGAAAGAAATGTCTAAGAATTTGGTGAAAGTATGTGGAATTTTGCTGGTGAGCCAGTGGCCTCAAAACACTTTTTTTTGAAATCATTTGCATACTCAGTTATTTTGGTTTTGTAGTTAATACAATTCTATAACAGTTAAATTTAAGTATCACCTTCTCCCTGGTAGATTATATATTAAGGAAATTAACATTTTAAAATGAAGGTATGTTTGATATTTGCTTGTTTACAGATTGTAGCACTTAAGTTCTAAGACGAGGTCTTTTGTTTTTGTAGCGCATTGCAAGCTGCTGCAGACCAGCTTCTAACTGGGGTCCATACTTGGAACGACATCGTGGGGAGAGATATAAAGACATGGTAGATCCTAAAAAGGAGAGTGACTTTGAAATACCTACTGTTAGTGGCAGTAGAAAACCAGAATGAGATCTAATTTTTAAAAGTATGTGGTTTGTAATGTGATTATTTTAGAATCAAAGAAAATTTTATTTATTTGTATGTCAAGTAGAAAAATGTACATACTGTGTTCATAATAAAGTTTTTTTTCTTTTAAGCAGGAACGCAACATAAAATGTGAATCTAACATTTAGCAATGTGCTTATATATTTCTTTCTAGATTGTCTATCTATATAACATACACATATAGCTATCTCTTTCACAATAACATTTTTGTAAATATTACCATATTTTTCTACTATGTTGATGGCTTTATTTTGAGCTCGTTAATTTAGAAAAATAGTTCCATTTTCTATTAACAGGTTTTAAATATAATTTGCTTATATTTTCTTAGTACCCAACCTTCCTTTTCCGTAATGCTGGGGAAAATAAATCAGTATGTTTAAAGAAAGTGTTAGAAACTGAAGATCTCACGTAATTAAAAATGCCATATATGGAAAAAAAATTGTGTATATAAAATGACAACTGTCGTTTAATACTTTTGATACAAATATATCTAAAAACTTCATGTATTTATGGCTTTCTTTTTCTGTGTGACCTTAGTGTTTATATTCTTTATTGACAAATAGTGAAATAAGACAGAAAAAATAAGGCTCCCATGGCCAGTAAGTAATAAAATTTAGAAAATGGAATCCAGAGCATCGAGTACTTCTTTCCCATATGTCTTTCATCCTTAACATTATATTTGGAAGAAAAAATACAGCGTTCCACAAAATTAAGAGTAGTTCATTATACTCCCTGAAAACTAGGCTTAATTTCAAATAGAACATGGAATGAAATGGAGTCAATCAAATCTAGGGTCTTATGATTGTAATAAGTAGAATGATTTTTTTAATTTAACAAGTTACTAATTACAGGTGATAACTTATTTACTACTTATAGGAGATAATCATGTCAAACTTGTCAAGAATGAGAGCAGCAAAATTAGAAAGTCATATGTCCCAGTTTCCTTACAAAAGGTAATGAAAGTATATTCTGTCACTGATAGATTTATACACTATAAATCATGCACAACTGGTATAAACATCACAGCCTAGGATGATGAACATTGCCTAAATATGCAAGATACTTTTTGGCTGTTCTTAAGGTTCTAACCCTAGCCTGAGAGAATGGACAAGAATTTTTCTAGGGAATGAGTCCATAGTTTTCACCAGAATGAAGAGATCAGTGACTCAAAAAAAAAAAAAATTCAGAACCACATATACTCCAATGGTTTTTTTATTCTTGGCAAGTGAGGGATAAAAATAATAATTTCAATCTTAATTTCTTACACGTTTTCATTTCCCTTTCCTCTTCCTTTTTATTGAACACTAAAGGAATAAAAGACTAAGGTATCTCTAATTTATACTGGTAATTTATTTTCAGGAGGGGGCATGAAGCTAGGTACATAGGTAGACCTGTTATTTGTGAAATCTCAGTCAGTTATGTACACGATCAGCTCCTGTTAGATATTTTGAGGGTTTTCTTTGAGGGTAAGGCAAATTCTATTAGCAAACATCATTTATTACTGTTTATAAAACATAATTTGAAGTAGATGGCTGAGAGGAGCTTAAAAATACTTTATCTTAATTTTAATCCATATAATATTATATGCACCGTCTTGCTGTATTTTGGTGCTATTAAAGTGTGGATTTTTCACCAGATAGAAAAACACACGCAATTTTCTATAGGTTACATTTGCAATTCAGGGAAGATTAGCATGATTCTAATGCAAGATAATCAGTGGGGGTGGGGTTTGGGGGCGTAATTAAGAATTTGTGTCGTTAAGAATTTGTGTGACTGGGTCTCCCCTGGTGGCGCAGCGGTTGAGTGCTGGGCTGCGAGGCTGCCGGCAGCCTCTGTAGTGCCGGTTCGTTCCCCGGCCGCCGCTGAGTGGCCCACAAAAAAAAAAAAAAAAAAAAAATTTGTGTGACTATAGGGCAATGATATCTTAATTCAACAGTAGAAATTTGGAGACATTTGCAGGACTGTAAAGCAAACCATTAGAGAAAACTTTTTCCCACACATGTGTGAAATTAAAATCACTCTCTCAACTATGCTCTTTACTATAGCTTATTATAAAAACTTGAATTGTTTTCCTTTATTGTGTTTTCACTCTATCCCCAGTAAAACATATTAGCACATAATCAATTCTTAAAATAAAAATTAAATTCTTTACATAAAAAGTGAGTACACAAATGCCTGAATGTTGTATCTGACTTGGCAAGCCCTCCCCTCTTAAGCAATAATTCACTTGATATAAACACATAATTAAATCAATCCACTCAAAGTGCTTTTTAATGATTGCCTTGCCTGTCATTACATTTTGTAAGTTTTACAGTGGATTTCTGGTTAACTAATGTACCATTAAAACCCTTGATAACTAGGAAAAGTTCCAATTCAGCCAGCTTGTATTCCACGATCCTGAGGTTTACCAATATTCGCTTCTGCATGGCTATCGAATGTGGGACATTATTTAATATATCCTGGGAGAGGCTGCTGACTGAAAGACTCTTATCAATAATGTTCTTAGTTGACCCAGAACGAGAAGATGTTCTTACTAGTGCATGAGAAGGCGGGTTTGATGACATTTCACCAGTGTTTCTCTGTAAGGGAAGGAAATTATAATATGTAATTAATGTAGCTTAGCAATTTCCAAATACTACCAACTAACATGCTTAAACTTGATTATCAGAATGAACTGATTGTTCTCCACTAAGAATTAGAGATCAAAAATCTGTTGAGGGCCTCCCCTGTTGGCGCAGCCTCTGCAGCGCCGGTTCGATCCCAGCCGGCCGGCAGGGTCCCACATGGAGCGCAGACCTCTCCTGCCATGCCCGCTGCTCCCCTCAGCAGTGTGTTTTGTCAGTCTGCTGTTCTGTTCCCTGCTCTGTCTCTGGAGAATCCTCTCACCCTCCCGCGAATCTGGCCTGTACCCCGGTTCTTGTATGTATGCATAAATAAATAAATCTTAAAAAAAAAAATCTGTTGAATAACTACACTGATTTGAAAATATGTTCTTGTCAAACATAGATGGAAAAAATACATATGAAAGTAGCCTTTCATCAAACTGCCAGATCTTTGGGTTGTATTTCTTGGGCAGTCTTTGTAGGTCTATATTTGGACCCTGTCTGATCCTATCTGACTTCAATTGCTACTTTAAATATTAACAGGAAGCCCACCTTTTGACCCGAATTATTTGTGAGACAGGAAATGAAGTAAAGGCAAACAGAAAGTCAGGGAATAGCGGAAGCTGCCACAGTAGGTACAGATTCTTAAAATGGTAGGTTGTGGGGAGTGGGCACTTTTAGCTGTAATTTTCAAGTGATTCTAAAGCTCACCCTAACACTAGTGAAAACAGACCACAGCTGTCTAATCACAGTTTACTATGCCAGAAGTGTGGGGTAAGAAGTAACCCTCTCCCCGAAGCAGGTTTACCTGAAACAGGTTTTTCCAGAACGCAAACATTATGGTGAACAAAATGCCGCTAACTAGGAGCAAGAAGACGCTCATGGCTACTTTTGGGCCTCTTTCTCTACTGGATCTTGGAGGTATTCGGCAGCTGGGAAACTGAGGGCCCGCTAGCCGCCGGGTTTTGGGAAACCACCAGCCAGGGTGCTCACCGATCCTCACTGACTCGCGCAACTGAGCCAGGCGTCCGCGTCTAGCTTTATACGTACTGGGAGGGCGTCTGACGTCACAACTGAGCACTTAGAGGCCCCACGCTACAATCCAATGACCTAACCCCCAACCTGCTAGTGGCCAGGCAGCATTTAGTAACCGCCCACCTCGTAGCCGTGTCAGGTCTTTAGAGTAAGAGGACTTGGGGGTGTTTGGAATTTCTGGGAAGCTAAAACATGGTAGAAGTACAAACGCCAAATTGTCTGGTGAAAATACAGATTTTAAAAGTGCTTCTCCGTCTTTTTTTTTTTTTAAGCTGTGATTGTTTTTACTGCAACCACTACACTATTCATTTCAAAAACAAGTTCAAAATCAAGATAGGAAGACCTTGTAAAAAGTAGTCACCCACAAATTGTCTTTGCTGGTATCTCCACCACACTCCCATTACTATTTTAGGATTCACTCCAACGGAATCCATATTGTGATGATTATGTATATGTGTGTCACTGTACAGTTTAAAAAGTATTCCAGGGACATTGTCCTATAAAACTCACAATAATTTTGTGCTATGGGTATTTTTTAAAAGATTTATTTATTTATTCATACAAGCACTGGGTGCAGTCAGAAGCGCGGGAGGATGAGAGAGTTCAGCAGGGCCAGAGTGGGGTACAGAACAGGCAGACTGACGAAATACACTGCTGAGGGGAGCAGCGGGCGGCAGGACAGGTCTGTTGTGCCATGTGGGACCCTCGCCGGCGGCCGGGGATCGAACCAGCGCTGCAGAGGCTGCGGGCAGCTTCGCAGCCCAGCGCTCAACTGCTGTGCCACCAGGGGAGGCCCCCTATGGGTATTTTTAATTCTGGGTCTACTTTTGGAAATGCCGAAACAGATTCAGGTGTTAAGTAAATTCACTTGTAACTAGCAGCAAAAGCAGAACTTGAACTCACAGAATTTGAGTCCTGAGAATAACTGCCCCATTACCTCACCCTCAACCCCATCTCCAAAACGTCTGCCTCTAGTTGCTGACTTGTGTGTATCAAATATTTAGTATTGTCCACCCAAGGAACTGAACTGTTTATTTGGATTAGTACTGAGAGTCAACAAGCACAGTAATCATAGTGCTAGACAAGTTAGAAATATTCAAGAAGTTCGGGTAAATGTACAATATAACACTGAACTAAAAACTCAGAACTAATGGCAAATAGCTATATGGGTGTAATTCTAGGTTCTTTATACTGTTTCACTGGTCAATGTGTTTATTTATTTATTTTTGCCAATACCACACAGTTTTCTTTACTATAGCTTTATAGTAAGTCCTAAAGATCAGTATTGCCAGTCCTCTAACTTTGTCCTCCTTCAATATTGTGTTGTACATTTCAGGTACTGTGTCTTTCTGTATAGACTTTTTTTTTCTCAAATTATACAAATTTGCCAACTGTTTATATATAATTTTGGAATTATAGCTTAAGTGTTAGTTTGCCCATATCCACAAAATAACTTGCTGGGACTTTAATTTAGGCTGCATTAATTCTATGGATCAAGCAGGGAACAACACACATCTTGACAATATTGAGTTTTCCAATCCATTATCAAGGAATATGTGTACATTATTTAGTTCTTCTTTGATTTCTTTCATCATTTTTATCATTAACCTCATATAGATCTTGTACATATTTTGCTAGATTTATGCCTAAATATTTCTTTTTGGTGTATGTTAATATAAATGGTATTGTGAGTTTAATTTCAAATTCCACATGTTCATTGCTGGTATATAGGAAAGTGATTGAATTTTGTATATTAACTTTGCATCCTGTAACTTTAATCGCTTATTAGTTCCAGAAAGGTTATTTTTTGTAAATTCTTTCATATTTCATACAAGATATTTTTGTTTCTTCCTTACCAATCTGTGTACTTTTTATTTGCTTTTCTTCTCTTCTTGCATTATCTAGAACTTACAGTATGATTGTAAAAAAGGAATGGTGAGAGGAGATATTCTTGGCATTATCCTAACCTTTGTGGGAAAGCTTACAGTTTCTCAGTAGTATGTGTGATTTTAACTGAAGATAGTCTATTAATTTAAGGAAATTTCCCTATATTCCTAGTTTACTGAGTGTTTTTGTAATGAATTATTGTTGGTTTTGTCAAATGTTCTTCCTGCATCAATTGATATGATTGTGTGATTTTTCTTCTTTAGTCTATTTTGATAGTTGATATTAATTAATTTCATTTTTGAACACTGAACCAGTCTTGCATATCTGAGGTAAATCACCTGGTTGTGCTGTGCTGTATAATCCTTTTTATTTGCTAATATTTTTATGGGGATTTGTGAATTTATGTTCATGAGTGATACTGATCTTTAGTTTTCCTTTCCTGTGATGTTTTTGTCTGGTTTTGGTATTAAGGTAATATCCACCTCATAAAATGAATTAGAAAATATTATCCTTCTGTATTCTGAAAAAGTTGTAGATAATTGTATGATTTCTTCCTTAAATATTTGGTAGAATTCACCAGTGAACACATCTGCTCCTGATGCTTTCTGTTTTGGAAGGTCATCAATTAATCATTCAATTTCCTTAATAGGCATAAGCGTACTCAAGTTGTTTCTTTTTGCGTGGTTTTTGTAGATCGTCTTTTAAAAAGAACTGATCCACTTTGTTTAGCTTATCAAATTTATGGGCATATTTGTCCATAGTGTTCATTGATTATACTTTTAATGTCCATGGGATCAGAAATGATGTCCCCTCTTTATCTACATTTTTTATATTAGTAATTTGTGTCCTCACTCTTTTCCTAGTTACCCTGGCTAGAAGATAACCAAAATTGTTGATCTTTGCAAACTACTAGTTTTGGTTTGTTGATTTTTACTACTGGTTTTCTGTTTTCAATTTCATTGATTTCTGCTCTAATTCATGTTTTTTTTTTTTCTGTTTACTTTGCACTTCATTTGAACTTCTTTTTTTTAGTTTCCGAAGGTGGAGGATTACATCATTGATTTTAGATCTTCCTTCTTTTCAAATGTATGCATTCAATGTTTTAATTTTCCTCTAAACATTATTTTTTCTGAATCTCACATGTTATGATAAGTTGTTTTCATTTTCATCTAGTTCAAAATATTTAAAAATTTTCTTCAATATATACCATTTTATCTGTGTTATATAAAAGTTTGTTTTTAATGTTCAAATATTTTAGGATTTTCCAACCATCTCTCTGGCCTATGTTTCTACTTTAAGTCCATTGGGGTCTGGTAGCCGACATGATTTCTATTCTTTTAAAAGTGTGTTTTACAGGACCTCCCTGGTGGCGCAAGGGTTAAGACATAACCTATGAAGCTATCCGCAGCCACTGCTGCAGGAGTTCGATTCCCCTGGCCAGCCAGGGAGCAACCCACATGGTGCAGCAGACCTCTCCTGATTCGCCCATGGCTCCCCTCTGCAGTGCACTTTGGTCAATCTGCCTGTTCTGTTCCCCACTCTGTCTCTGGTGAATCCTCTCACCCCACCCCCGCACCTCTGGCCTGTACCCCAGCTCTTGTATGCATAAAAAAATAAATCTTTAAAAAACAAAAGAAAAAAAAAAGTGTGTTTTTCATCAATTCCAAAGAGCACCTGCACCCCTATGTTTATAGCAGCACTGTTTACAATAGCTAAGCTTTGGAAACAGCCCAAATGCCCAAAAATAGATGACTGGATCAAGAAGATGTGGTACATATACACCATGGAATATTACTCAGCATTCAAAAAAGATAAACACATGCAATTTGCAGCAACATGGATGGCGCTGGAAGGGATCATGCTCAGCGAAATAAGCCAAAAAGAAAAAGAAAAATACCAGATGGTCTCACTCATAGCAGGAATCTAGAAAACTTAAATAAGGGACCAGGAAAACGAATATAAGAAAGTGAAAATCAAAATCAACAAAAAACTATGAACCAGAGACACTTTTTGGGGTGGGGGGCGGGAGGGGAGGGATTGGGGTCAGAATGGGGCGTTTGCAATTGTATGGGGAATATAAAAATAAAATTATTATTTAAAAAAAAATAAAAAAAAAATAAAATGTTCTCTATTCAGAAAAAAAAAAAAAAGTGCGTTTTACAGCCCAGAATGTAGTCTATTTTGGTGAATGTTCCATGTGCTTTCATATTCTATACACTTTTTATTTATCCACTTTGACAACATCTGTCTTTTAAATGGTGTATTTAGATCTGACAGTTAAAGTTAGATTAAAATCTATCCTATGTTTTACTATTTTTTTACTTGCTTTTTTTTATTATCCTTTCTCTTCTTTCACTCATTTTCTGGGGCTTCTATAATGCACAGAGGTCTATTTGATGTTGCCCTATAAATCATTTAGGCTATATTCACTTTTCTTGTTTTATGTTTTCTCTTGATTCTCATTCTAATGACTTCAGCATCACTGATTGTTTCTTCTGCTTGTTCAAGTTTTTTTTTTGAACCTCTCATGAAATTTTCAATTCAATTATTGTATATGTCAAATCCAGAATTTTTTTTTTTATTATTCTGTGTTTTTCTTCATTGTTTAGAACTAAAAGCCATTCTGGTTATTTGTATTCTGTTTATTGAGGTAACATTAGCTTACGATACTGTATATGATTCAGAGGTGTAAGATCACACTTCAGGTGTCTGTTGCCACACCACCCCCACCATCAAGGCACCCATAGTCTTCCATCATAGTCCCTTGTGCCATCACTCATTCTGATCTCCCTCTTCCCCCTACCCCTATGGTGGCCTCATCTACAGTCGGATTGCTAATGTTAGTTATTGTTTTGGTTTTATCTGACTCTTATTTTGTTTCTCTGTATTCCACATATAAATGACACCATCTGGTATTTGTCTTTCTCCTCCTGACTTATTTCACCTAACATAAATCCCTCCAATTCCACCCATGTTGTCACAACTAGCAAGAATTTGTCATTTTTTATAGCTGAGTAGCATTCCATTGTGTATACATACCTCATCTTCCTGATTTCATTTGTTTTTGGGCACTTATATTGTTTCCATAGCTTGGCTACTGTAAATAGTGTTGCAATGAACATAGAACTA